GGCTCATATCGCCCTTGACCACATTCCACAGCTCGGGCAGTTCATCCAAGCTGCTGGATCGCAGAAAACTGCCAAAGGCTGTCATGCGCTGGGAATCTGGTAAAGGCTCACCGTTTGCATCATGAGCATCTCGCATCGTACGGAACTTGATCATTTCGAACGGCTTGCCATTACGACCTGGACGAACCTGACGAAACAGAACAGGAGATCCCAATTTCTTGCGAATGTTCCAGGCAATTACTGCTATGACCGGAGAAAGCAGAATTAGTCCAAGTAATGACGCAAATAAATCAAAACCACGCTTGATCATCTGGCAACACCCTCCAGCCAATCCACAAACCGATCAGCCAACTTACGTCGGTCAAACTCTCTGACCGCCAATTCTCTGCCTCGTGCGCCCTTGGCCCGCAGCTCGTCACGATCATCTGCCGCCTGTATCAACGCATCTGCGAAAAGAGCAGCATCATCAGGAGGTACGACAAAACCGCAGTTTTCCGTGGAAATCATCTCGGCGAGCCAGCCTGGATAGTTATTTAAAACAGGCAGCCCCGAAGCGATATAGTCGAAAAACTTGTTAGGCGACGTTCCGTAGTAAAAGGCCGGTACGTTTGCCAATATTTGCAGCCCCAGATCCGCGCTGGCCATCAAACCGGACAACCGGGCTTTGTTCACCGGGTCATGAAATATCACATTGTCCAGCTGTTCTTCCGTTGCACGCTTCTGAAGCGCGGGCTTGAGCTTGCCCTGCCCGATCAAAACCAGCCGGATATCATCGCGCTTTCGCAGTTTCAGCTCTCGAGCCGCATCGAGCACCGCGTCCAGCTTGTTGGCCACCCCATGCGTACCCGCAAAGACCGCTACCAGATGACTTTTATCCACTCCAGCCGGCAACCATGGCTCAGCAGGCGTGTTGAAAATATCCAGGTCACAACCGTTTGGGATCATTTCGATCCGATCACGCGCCACACCGCGGTGCGCAATGCCATCCACAATACCCGGCGACAACCCAATGACCCGGTGAGCCGAGCGATAGCTTGCCCACTCAAGAAAAGACATGGCGGCAAGGATTACCGGATTACGAATGACACCCATCGCTTTCGGCAGCTCGGGCCAGAGGTCCCGCACCTCGAATATAAACGGCTTATTGCGAAACCACCGGGCGAATATCCCGGGTATACCGGCTGTCAAAGGCGTCGTGGTCGCAAAAACCAAGTCGTAACGCTCGGTTAGTGCAATACCGATACTGCGCACTGCAAACTTCAAAAAGCTGAGCGCTCGAACGAACAGGCCATCGCTGTTGGAGTACGCCAAGTCAAATTCGATGATCTCAATACCGTCGACGGTACCTTTGCGTTTTCCACCAACGAAAGGGCTTTCCAGCCCCGTTTGGCCACCACCATAGCTGCCACAGACCATCGTCACCTGGTGACCCCTGGCAACCAGGCGGCGGGCCATCTCATAGGACCGGATACCAGTTGCTCCTTTCGGAGTTGAAAAATGCTGATGAAAATAAAGGACTTTCATGTCTACCAGTGATACTCCGTAGTCAAAACGCCCGCCGAAGTCACCTCAACCTCAAGCACCGGCACCTCAGTTTTTTGTAAGTAGTAACGAGACTCCAAACCCTGGACGAGTTCCCGCCGAACGATAGGCATGCTGCCCGCAACGGATATTCGATGCGAGCCGTTGGTCAGAACCTCGTCCTCAAGCCGCCAGTCCCCAGGCTGCAAACGCCAGCGTAGAACTGCACGATCCTTGAATCCGGTGAATTCATCCCTGACCTTCATGCCGGTATCGGTCAGGCTGACATGCCGCTTATGACGGACGCCGTTGCCGTCGATGTACGTGGCGCCGCAGGAGCTGGTTCCAGCCTGCTCAACCAGACTTTCGACCTGGCGCGTACGCAACCATTCCCCGAACAGAAACCGGCTGAGCCTGGGCATCTGGTCTTGCCCATCAAATTGAACGGTGTTGTGGCTGGCAGTACCCGGAAAATAACTCAGCCACTGGGCAGAGGTGTTGTAGCTGAAGGTACCTGCATCCCGGAGCAAGTTAATGCCTGCACGCCATAGATCCACATGCAGGGCATCTGCCTGGCTGGGGCGAAATCGGAAGCGCGGGTAGCGCAATACAGCATAGGTTTGTTCACGCCGTAACAATGCATAACCACCCTGATCAAACAGTTGACTACCTGGAGGCTCCGCTATCGCCGATGGGCCAGGCAGGAGCAGCCAGCGCAGTGGCAAATCCCATTCACCTGCCGACTCATAGGCTCTCTTTCCGGCAAACAACGCCATGGCCAACTGGACCGCAGGCCTGAAGTCGCGATAGTCCGTATCCGTCAGTGGCAGCAGCCGGGCACCATCATTTGCGCCAATGTTCGGAGCATCTCCAGTGTGCTCGTCGACTAACGAAAATAACCAATGCGCGGCTGTGCGAGCCCTGAGTTGGAAGGTAGCGGAGAACGCCGGGAGCCCCAGTTTGTTTCTCCAGACTTCAACCATGGAAAACGTGTCGAGCATCACCCGATGATAATTGACGGAGTACTGGCTGAAACTGCCATCTTGCTCAATCAACCGAGCGGCCCGGTTTTCGAGCCATTTGCGCCCCAATCGCTGCCAGCGTTCGCCCTCGGGGCAACCGCTTAACGTCAACCAACTGCCGCCGACAAAAAGTGCGGCAGCCTCGGAAGTCCCGTGGTTATTGTCCTGAGCCATCGCATAGCTCAGCGTCGGCTCAATACGTTTGAGATGCAGTCGAACCAGATCCACAAGCCCCGGCAACGGGTGGGCAAACTGTTCAAGAATGACCGAACTCATCGCCAGGTGCAGGACACGAATGGACGCCTCCTGACCGCACTTCCAGTTCGGACCGCAATAGGGAGGATTATTGACACACCAATCCGCCAACCAACCGTTTAACTGCGCCGTCCCTGAAGATCCGCCAACACAGGACTTCTGGGCAAAGACCAACGTCCAGTCAAATCGCGAAGCTTCCCAGATATTCTTGATATCACCGACAGCGGCATCAAAATCCGGAATCCGCCACCATTCCCGGCCGGGATCAGGCACTCGAACTCCATTCAGCGGATTCAAATGCCAGTCAGGAGGTGCGTCCGATACCGGACATTCCCAGAACCCGAAATATCGGACCTGGGAATCCCATTGGGACGCACATGGCAACGAGCCGGCCTGTCTCGCACTTTCCGCAAAAAACGGGCCCTGGGGAATTTCAGCCCGAAGGCGTCTGACAGGGTTCAAACCAGTCTTGACCCCAAGCCGATACGTCAATGCACGCGCCAGATTGCCAAAACCGAGAGCTATCGCAGTTTTGGCTTTAACAAGAAGAAGGCTCATTGCTCGCGCAGAATCCGGGCAACTTCAATGCTCACGCGCGCCACTTCGAAAATTTCATCGGAAGTGATCGGCGTGACAGCCCCGTTTTGCACCGCTGCAAGGAAAGCCGCAGCGCACTCGCTTTGCCCCTTGTTCTGTTTCCAGAGATTCAGCTTGCTGAAGCCCGGCCAGCCGAAACCTTTCAACTTGCGGAAGTTATCCAGTTGCAGGACGCGTCCGGCAGCGAAAACTTCAACTCGCTCTTTTGGAAAGCTTGAAGCGCCATTGGCCAGATAGAGGATGGTGCCGAAAGAGCCATCTTCAAACCCCAGGGTAATTGCCGCTTTATCTTCCGTAATGGCAACAGCAGGCGTATCTCCCATTCTGCGGGCCTGAATCGAAACAATTTTGCTGCCCGCCAGAAAACGCATCAGGTCGATGAAATGACACGCTTCGCCAATAATACGCCCACCGCCGACTGACGGGTCCTGGGTCCAGTGATTCGCGGGAATCGCTCCGGCATTCATCGTCATGATGAAAGACTTGGGCTCTTTTACAGCCGAGAGCAACGCCTTCATCTTTTGGACCTGTGGCGAAAAGCGTCGATTGAATCCAACCATCAAATGTGGCTTGAGCCCTTGTTCGACAGCCTTTCGATAGGCCTCTTCAACCGTTGCCAAATCCTGGGATTCAATTGCCAATGGCTTTTCGACGAACACATGTTTACCCGCCTCCAGCGCTTGAGCGACAAAACGGGCGTGGCTGTCGTGACGGGTGACAATTGCAACGGTATTGATCGTGCTCTCGCCAAGCATCGCACTGATATCAGTCGAGGCTTGTGCAAATCCAGCCTTGCTGCCGTGTATTACACCGTTGATACCGCCGGCAGTCACAATCGTATGGAACTGAGCGCCCGCGGCCTTGAACGCCGGTATCAGCATTCTTGATGCATAGTTTCCTGCACCGATGAAGCCAACCACGGGTTTGACCGGGTCGAAACTGGCTACCGCACCAGGTGCCAGCACGACTTCCTTGATGTTTCGCTCGGTCTCTTCCGAGGTGTACTGAAGAATGATACCCAGCGCCGAATTATCCGTCGTAAGCGTCTGATAGGCATCTGCGGCGTCTTCGAATGCAACCCGATGGGAGATCAACGAGTTGACCTCCAATTGGCCGCTGGCGAGCATATCCAGGACGGCTTCGAAGTTGCGCTGTTCAGTCCAACGAACAAAACCTATCGGGAAGTCGTTGCCTTGATCTTCGTAACTCGGATCATAGCGCCCGGGCCCGTAAGAACATGAAACCTGGAATGTCAGTTCCTTCTCGTAGAAGTCAGCTCGGCTCAACTCAAGCCCGGTGACCCCCACCAGAACAATGCGTCCACGCTTGCGGCACATGTGTGCCGCCTGGGTGACTCGGGTCGGACGACTTGGTCGACGCCGTAATGATGACGCCATCCACGCCTCTTCCGCGGCTGAACGTCATCCCCGCCGATACAACATCTTCCCCTTTGCCGGGATTGCAGGTTTCGGCGCCATAACTGCGAGCCAACGCCAGTTTTTGCTCATCAAAGTCAACGGCAAGTACTCGGCAGCCCTGGGCTCGCAGGAGCTGAACCGTCATCAGTCCGATCAGACCTACGCCGGTGACGACAAAGGTCTCGCCCAGCGTCGGCTGAGCCAGCCGAATCCCCTGCAAGCCGATGCTGGCCAGCACGGTAAACGAGGCGGCTTCGTCGCTGACCGAATCCGGGATCAAGGCGCACAGATTCTTGGGAACGATAACGATATCGGCATGAGGGCCATTGGAAACCACGCGGTCGCCGGGCTTGAACCCGGATACGTCACTGCCCACGGCGCCCACAACACCCACATTGCAGTATCCAAGCGGCAACGGCTGTGCAAGCTTCGAGCGAACGGCTTCTACCGTTGTCGCCAAGCCATCGGTCTGCACCTTTTGCAGAACCATGCGAACCTTGTCAGGTTGCTGGCGAGCTTTTTCCAACCAGTTGGCCCGGCCAAATCCTACAAGCATGCGTTCCGTGCCGGCAGAAATCAGCGTATTGGTTGTATTGATCTTTAGCGTGCCACTGCGAACGGCGGGAGCGGGTGCATTAACCAATGACGTCTCACCGCTAGCCATGTTCTGAACAACCTGCTTCATGCATTCACACCAATAAAGTTAAAAATTCACTCATCACTGAGAAACTTGTATATAGCTATCTATCCTACCATCGGATAAGACCGGGACGTGCCCGCCGACTCAACCGTCCAGGGCAAAATCGCCGTCCAGATACTGTTTACACCAGAGCTCCATGCAAACGATGCCAAACAACGTATAAGCAGCGTCTATTCGGCCTGAACGATCTGCTTCGATCAGATGCGCCACTGCTTTGGGGTCGAAAATCCCCCTTTTCAGCAGGGATGCAGGAGAAAGCACCTCATCGACCAAAGGCTTCAGGCGTCCTTGCAACCAGTTGCGAAGCGGTACACCGAAGCCCGTCTTGGGCCGGTAGATGACGTCGTGAGGCAGATAGGGTTCCATGGCCTTCTTGAAAATCCATTTCCCTTCCCGGCCTTTTTGCTTGATATGCGATGGCAGTGAACCCGCCAGGCGTACTAGGTCAAGATCCAGCAGCGGAACACGCACTTCAACGCCCGTCGCCATACCCATTTTATCGGTGTAGTTGAGGTTGTGATCGGTGAGAAAATGCTTGCACTCCAGGGTGAGTATTTTATCAAGAGGTGTTGCATCCGAAGGCAGCCGCGAAAGTGTTTCTCGCATAGGCGCAAACAGATCATCGGCCGCCAACTGGCGTCGCAAGTCTGGCGCCAACAGCCCATACGCCTGATCAGGTTCAAGCCAGAGGAAATAACTGATCAAGCGATCATCAGCAGGCAAGTCCGCGTAGCGAAAAGCCTTCCCGAGGCGACGAGACAGCGGAGACGACGCCGGAAGCAAGCTTGAGCTACGGGCCAGTACCGAACGCAGCGGTCGAGGCATGCCGCCCCACCAGCGCTCTTGTGCCAGAGCGAAATGACGACGATAGCCTGTAAAAATATCATCTCCCCCGGCACCCGACAGCAGGACCTTGATACCGTTCTGGCTCGCCAGTTCCGAGATGAACAACGCATTCAACGCGGCCGGATCCGGCGTAGGTTCATCGAGCAGGTAAACCATTTCCGGCAGACGATCCATCATCTCATCGCCGACGCCTACGACATGCAGGTCGACATCCAGATGCTTGGCAACGCGCTGTGCGTACGGAAGGTCATCGGCGAACCCCTCGTTTGCAGTGGAGCCGTTGTCTACACGGATACTGAAGCACTGCAACCGCCCCTTGTCCCGCATTTCCTGCGCTGCAAACGCGACGATGGCGCTGGAGTCCAAGCCGCCTGACAAGAATGAACCCAACGGTACGTCGGACACCAACTGACGCTGGACGGCAGTTCTGACCGCATCGGCAACATCAACAGCGACATCCGCAACCGTTTTTGTCAGGGGTTTCTCGGAAATTGGCAGTTCGTAGTAAAACCAGCTCTTCTCAATATGCCCATTACGAACGCATAACGCTTGGCCAGGTAAAACTTTTTTGATATCCCGCACAATCGTCCGATCACCTGGTGACCAGAGAAAACCAAGGTGCGCGAGTACGGCTTGCGGGTCAATTTCAGTTTTACTGAAGCCGCCTCGGATCAAGCCTTTCATTTCACTAGAAAATGCAAAACAACCATCATTGGAATGGATGTAGAGGGGTTTGACGCCCATCTGATCTCTAGCCACCCAAAGTGTTTCAGTGTCGCGTTCCCAGAATACGACCGCGAAAATCCCGTTCAAGCGGTTTAAACACTCAATCCCATAACGACAGAACAGTGCGAGCAATACTTCGGAGTCGGACTGGCTGGAAAAATGATCCCCCGCCGCTTCGAGATGAGCCCGTAGTTCCCGAAAGTTATAGATTTCACCGTTAAACACCATGACCACTCGCCCATCGGCAGAGACCATCGGTTGGTGACCGGCTGAAGTCGTATCGAGAATGGAAAGCCGCACTTGGCCCAGCCATACACCAACGTCGGTATCGGCCCAGACGCCTTGATCATCAGGCCCACGACGTCTAATAAACGAAAGCGCCGAAGAGAAATCAATAGATTCCCGCGTTCCGTTATGAATGTAGCCCAAAATTCCGCACATATCAGTTTCTCTAGATTGGGTTATTAACTGGCTCTTCGCGCTTTGAGCTCAAGAATAAAAAAAGGAAGCCATATAGACGCTATGAGAAGAGCGACCGACGCCAATTCTCCTCGAAAAAGGTGAAGCAGAGAGGCGACTGCCAATGCATAAAGACCTAACGCGCGGTCGCTTTTAGGATTACAGACAACTGCGCCATAAAGCCGCCCTCCTATAACCCCTAGAAAGAAGCCGCCAAACAGTACACCCAGAGTGCCAAAGTTCATATAAAGCTCACCAAAAATACCTGGCGGCAATGTCGTACCTTCCATAAGCCACTTATCTGGCCAAAAGGCACCTGTAAATACCCCGGCGGCGGTGAGTGGCTTACCCGGAAACAGACCCGAGGGTATTAAAATCAATACAACCATCAGCAGCGTCGTACCATTTTGCCACTCAAGCCTCTCGGGCATAGCATCTATAAGCACAGTCATAGTCTGCAACTGCATTAGATTGCCCGTAAACTGAGTCGCCAAAAAATGAATGAACGACAGGAAAACGCCCTGATCCTCATTAATAAAAAAAGAACCTCCCTGTTGCGAGAAACTCTTGCTTGACCAGGTGATAGGCCATTAGAGAAACAAACATTACAGCCCCAAGCACAGCCCCTTTTACAAGACTGACACGCTTGACGCGGTAATGCCGAACTATAATCAACGACAATACAATAATAAAAATTGTCGATTTCTGCCCTTGGAGAGCGCAAATAAACAAACCGCCCAAAAAAATATAACCAGAAACAAAACCGCTCGGAAAGTGACTTCTTCCCGGCACGGGTCAGCCGTATATACCAGGCCAGCGAGACAGATAGCAACAAGTTCTCCAAGAGGAACAAGCCGTTCAAACCTGCAAACGCCCTTATCCTGTCACTGGCACCTTGAAGCAACCCCGAGACCCCGCCTAGGATTACAAGAATAGTTGTAAACGCCAGCAGCGCCACTAACGAAAAACCTAAGGCCCGTTGCGAAAAAATCCGTGGACTTACTATGTAGCGTATCCCGACGGGAAAATTAAAATGCGTATTCCGTCCTAACCAACACCCCATCAAAACAAAAATTAAAGCCCCAACATACAGCAAAATGGCATAATCAATAGAACTCTGCTTATCGAAAAAGTCAAACTCCCAAAACTGACTAAACCCATCAAATCCCATGATAAAGGGATATAACGGGACAATAACGCCTGCAACCCAGATCACCAGAAAGAAAAAACCAACGCCAAAACAATCAAACGCTTTTTTTTCAAGCGGGACCCGCAAGTGCTCAGGCCCTAAATATTTTTCTTCCAAGGTATCAACCTCTTGGGTCATAAATCAGCGAGGCGGACTCTCACCGCAATCAGAAGCAGCACGGCGGACAAAACAGCACCAACCACATACCCCAAAACGCCAGCCCAAGCATCCAAAACAGGGATACCGACGTATAGAATTAAAAGAACAAGCAAGCCCTCTACAATATTGGTTTTAAGGCTTAAACTAAAAACACGCAATGCGACCAGTATTGTACCGCAAGCGAGAGCCATAGCCTTCAAGGGCAAAGTCAACGCCAACACAATGATATACATGGCCGTCTGCTTATAAACACCGCCCACACACACCAACCATATACAAGAGCAAAAGATCAACAGCAAAGCAACTGCGGATGAGATCTTTAACATGCTTTTGGAGAATGCATGATACCTTTCGCGCAGCTCGCTTTTATCATGGATGACCTCGACCAACTCAGGAAGGGCCCTTTGTGCAATGATTGCCAATGGCAGCAAGCCAAGAATAAGGCTCAATATAGCAATACCAAAAAAACCGATCTCGTCGGTTTTCACATGATAAGCAGTCAACATCAGGACAGGCAGACTATCCACCAACAGACGAACAAACAGGCTGGCATTGACAATGACACCGGACTTGGCCGTTGTCATTAATTCGCGCCGGTTCACCTGGCGAAAATCAAGCGCCAGAAAGATATGCGCTCGCAGCTTCCACCAAACGGCAGCGAGACAAAAGAACTCACCAAGATAACGAGCGGCCATCCAGCCTTGGATACCATACAACTTCGTCAACACAACATGCAGAATAACGCCCGCCCCGGTAACCAGCATCAGAACGAAGTAGATCTCGCGTATCGCCTTCGCCCCCTGAGCAAAGCCAGTCGTTACACGAAGCAAATTAGTCAACAACACCAAGCCACAGGTTGTAAAAACATAAGAACTAATCGCCGAGGTCAACACAAACTCATGCGCGACGTATATGCCAGCAATCACGACACCTGAAGCGATCCCGACCAACAAAAAAACTTGCCGAAGCACTTCACTTTGACGAGAAGTACCATGACTCGCCGCCGTATCGCGAATCGCGATGCTTTGCATGCCCAAACTTCCTGCCAGTACGACAAGAGCAATAATTGTTTCCAGCGAGCGCACCACACCCACGACCGACGGATCAACCCAAGACGTGATCAAAAACTGACTTATTATTACCCCACCTTGAATACAGGCAGTAATAACGATCAGCTGTAACAGCTTCGAACTTTCAAACATGCTGATCAGACGATTCAACACACGCTACCACCATGAATCTTTATAAACACTATCAACGATAGCTCTCCTTTATTTCACCAGCGACAAGGAATCCAGGACATTTTTAAGCGCCACACGACGAGCTGCGATGGAATAATTGGAAGAAATCCACTGATGCCTGGCTTTGGCATCTTCAGCACAAGTCGGCGTGGCGACAACCGCCTCCATGGCCGCAGCAATTTCTTCCTGGCTATCTGGTTGAACCCAGTAAGCGAAGTCACCCGCGACCTCAGGCACCGCGCCCCGAGGCGAAGTTATCACTCGCGCTCCACACGCCAGGGCCTCGCCGATCGCATGCCCGAAACCTTCATAAAGCGTTGGTTGAACATAGGCCAGGCAATTGCGGTAATGGTGCAGCTTCTCTTCATCGGAGATCATCCCGACAAACTCCACCTTGTCTCCTACACCCAGGCGCTGCGCCAGGTCTTTTAGTTCCTGCAGGTAGTCACCGTGCTTACCAGCAACAACCAGTCGAAGATGACGTGCGTTAGCCGAAACCTTTGCAAACGCCTCAATCGTCGGAATGAGCCCTTTACGAATGGCGTTTGTACGACTTGTCCAGGTCACCGTAAAAAAGTAATCCGATCCAACCGCCGGAAGCTCGCTAGGAGAATAGTAGTCTGTATCGATCGCCAGCGTTGCGTACACTGGGTTTCTGACCGGCAGGTTGGTTGTGACTTCCTCACACTCAGATCTTGAGATAAACAGGTTTCGATCAGCCAACAACAGCGAGGTGCGCAGTACTGCCTTCTGCCATAACGGGCGGTCCAGGTAACACAGACCCGGAATTTCCTTCCGGCAGGTGGAATAGTCAAAGGCCCCAGTTACAATTACTGGACGACGACGTAGTTTTCCGGCGAGCAACGGAAGCGGTGAATGCCCCCACCACCAACAAAAATAGAGATCCGCCTTCCAATCTAATGTGCCCGGCGTCCCCGACAAAACGACTTCGTGTCCAAGCTCCTTGAGAATACGAATATCGACCCGATAAAATTCGACTTTATCAAACATCTCGCGCCAATTAGCGTGAGCGGACATATTAGCAAAAAAACATATACGCACAGTGCACCAACCCGTTACCAGCCACCAGTATTAAACAACCACCTTCTGCTGATACATTGAAAGCAATGTATCGTGCAAACTAGGCACATCAATTTCACCCACCGCATCAAAGAGCTTGGCCGGACTACCGTAAAGCTCTTTAACTTCATCTTCCCTGACAAAGGCAGGATCAACTATTATCGTTGGCCGATAACCTGCAATCTGTGCCATTTCATCAATCACGCTCAGTAAAGAAATGCTGCGACCTGAGCAAATATTTATAAACTCACCGCGTTGATCAGACGTCAACAGCCTCGAATAGGCCTCCACCACAAAACCGATATCAGACAAGTCCCGGGAAACATCCAGGTTGCCTAGCCTGAGTTCCTTTTCCCCACGAGCAAACGCGCCCACGATCTTGGAGAAAACGAATGACTCCGACTGGCCTGGTCCGGTGTAGTTGAATGGCCGCACCACCAATATAGGCATACGAGAAAACCACTTGCGGACCAGGGCCTCCATCGTCAGCTTGCTCAATGCGTAATGGTTAACGGGCTGCGGTTCACTGCTTTCTGAAATTGGCGATGAAATGGCGTTCCCGTAAATATTTGCACTGCTTGCAATGATGATTTTCTCAACAACCACCGCTGCCTCCTTAATCGCATTAAGAAGGCTTTCCGTACCCAACACATTGACCCGGTAGTATGACAAGGCATCGCTGCCGGTGACATGCGCCAGCGCGGCCAAATGAATAATATGAGTGGGTTGAACCTGCTTGATCCAACCACTGAGCCGCTCCGTGTCATTCAGGTCCGCGTCCAGATGGTCAAACTCACACGCCAGCCGCTCCCCTCCCAGGCCGGCGACCCGCCAGCCAGCTTGGGTGAGGCTTTCCGCCAAGTGCTTCCCGGTGAAACCTGAGAGCCCTGTAATCAGTACTGTCCGATCGTTACTTTGAAGTGCCATTGCGAACCCTTCTCAAGTCAGCTTCAACCATCAACTGGCACAGTTGCTCCAGCGTCGTTTCTGGTTCCCAGCCTAACCGCTCTTTTGCAAAGGACGCATCGCCAATCAACAATTCTACTTCCGCAGGTCGATAGAAGCGTGGATTAACTTTTACCCGGGTGACGCCGGTCCGACGATCAACGCCGAATTCATTCTCGCCACTTCCGGACCAATCAATATCAACGCCTACAGCTTTGAAGCTCATGGCAACAAAATCACGAACAGTTTCCGTGCGATTTGTGGCCAGCACAAATGTTTCCGGCGTGTCGATTTGCAACATCCGGTGCATGCCATCTACATACTCTTTAGCAAAACCCCAGTCTCGTTTGGCATCCATGTTTCCAAGTTCCAAGACTTGCTGCTCGCCCATTTCGATACTGGCTACAGCATCGGTAATTTTCCGAGTAACAAACTCTTTACCTCGCAGCGGAGACTCATGATTGAACAGAATGCCGCTGGTGGCAAAAATGCCATATGACTCGCGATAATTAATGGTTGTCCAATGCGCAAACAACTTCGCAACGCCGTAAGGACTACGTGGGTAGAAGGGTGTGCTTTCAGATTGAGGAACAGCCTGTACCAATCCAAACATTTCAGATGTCGAAGCTTGATAGAAGCGAATCTTCGGATTTACTATTCGGATCGCTTCCAGCAAATTAAGCGCACCGACACCCGTAATCTGCGCGGTTGTAATAGGCTGATCGAAGGAAACACCTACGAAGCTTTGAGCCGCCAGGTTATACACCTCGTCCGGGGCGCAATTCTGAATTAAACGAATGGTCCCGGAGAGGTCAGTCAAATCAAATTCGACGAGGTGAAGATCATCATGCCCAAAAACGCCAAGTTCCTCTAATCGCCAGAAACTTACAGAACTTGTCCGGCGATAGGCGCCATAAACCTTATACCCCTTGGACAGCAGCAGTTCGACAAGGTAAGCCCCATCCTGACCTGTAACACCAGTAACCAGCGCATGCTTCTGCATCTGTACAACTCCTAAAAATTTAAGCCTTAAACACGTCCATAGGTATCGTCAAATCGAACAATATCATCCTCACCCAAGTACGTTCCTGACTGCACCTCAATGATCTCAAGAGGAATGGTGCCGGGATTGGAAAGGCGATGAACATGGCCAATAGGGATATAAGTACTCTGGTTCTCGTTCAGCTGAAAAACGCGATCTTCACAGGTGACCTCAGCGGTGCCAGACACAACAATCCAGTGTTCCGCGCGGTGGTAATGCTTCTGCAAACTCAATGTTGCTTTCGGCTTCACCAGTATTCGCTTCACCTGAAAGCGCGAGCCGGAATCTATGCTGTCGTACCAGCCCCAGGGGCGATGAACACGACGATGAAGCTTTGACTCTGGCCTGGCCTTGACATTCAATGCTTCGACAATGGCCTTGACACCCTGGCTACGGTCTTTATCCGCAACCAATACCGCATCAGGCGTTTCGACAATAACAATATTTTCAAGCCCCACGGCCGTTACCAAACGGTGAGAGGCGTAAACCAATGTATTGGAGCTGGAGTCTATGATTACATCGCCATGAGTAGCGTTTTGTTTTTCGTCCTTTTCACTCGAACGCCAAACAGCATCCCATGCACCCAGATCGGACCAACCGGCATCCATCGTCAGCATTTTTAGCTTCAGACCGGCTGAAGGCGTTTTCGCACAATGCTCAATCACGGCGTAGTCAATTGACTCTGGCGGTATCAGGGAGAACGCTTCGAGTTGTGGTCGAATAAACCCATTATCCTGAACTCGGCCCTTCCACGCGGCTTCAGTGGCATCGAAGATGTCCCTTCTGAACGCGCTCAGTGCTTTCAACCAGACTGACGCACGCAGCACAAAAATGCCGCTATTCCAGAAATAGCTTCCATCTTCCAGGTATTTTTCTGCAGTTGACCGCTCAGGTTTTTCAACAAACGCGTCCACCCTCTTGACGTTAGAGGGATCTGCCGAGTGGATATAACCATAACCCGTTTCAGGACGGTCAGGCGTGATCCCCAAGATCACAATGCTGCCGTCTTTTGCAACGTCGATAGCTTTACTGACCGTATCAGTAAAGGCTTGAATATCGAGAATCATCTGGTCGGCCGGGACAACAACCAGGACAGGGTCAACTTCCTGACCCACTTCATCGCGCGCATAGAGCGCCGCCAACGTAAGGGCAGGAGCAGTATTGCGTCCTACCGGCTCAAGAATGACTACAGCTTTAGAGACGCTCATCTCCCGTATCTGGTCGAGACACAGGAAACGATGCTCATCATTGGCAACGATGCATGGGGCCAGCAAATCCGAGCCTTGACCGCCGATCTTCAACAGGCGGGCAATAGCCTGCTGAAACAACGTCTCTCGCCCCGAAATTGCCAGAAACTGCTTGGGGTAAAGAGTTCTGCTAAGCGGCCAGAGCCTCGTTCCAGAGCCCCCAGACATAATAACCGGAAGAATTTTCATACAAGCCAGATTCCCCGAGTATCAACAATCTGACGCCCCTGGAGAAGTGAAGAAGGAACACTTTTGAATGGCTTGTGATCCACTAACAACAATAAGACATCCGCTCGCTCAAACGCTTCTTCTATTGTGCATAACTCAACATTCGGCAACGTCGCAGGCAGAGAATCAATATTAGGTTCTACGACAATAACTTTCCCGGCGTGACGGTTTGAGATATTTTTCGTAATTTCCAGAGATGGACTTTCACGCAGGTCGTCAATATCGGGCTTGAATGCCAGGCCGAAGCACGCAATAACAATGTCTTTTTCCGACTTCTCGGGGTGACTCGACAGATGATCGGCCACAGCAGCATCAACCTTTTCAATAACCCACGATGGTTTCGAGTCATTGACCTCACGTGCCGTTTTGATCAGTTTCGCCTGACCATCAGCCTGGCTGACGATGAACCAAGGGTCAACGGCGATGCAGTGTCCACCCACGCCAGGCCCTGGCTGGAGAATATTAACGCGAGGGTGCCGGTTGGCAAGCTTGATAAGCTCCCAGACGTCGACATCAAACTTATCGCATATCATCGACAATTCGTTCGCGAAGGCGATGTTGACATCGCGAAAGCTGTTCTCTGTCAACTTGCACATTTCTGCGGTTCGGGCATTGGTGATAATACACTCGCCCTCTACAAACAACTTGTAGAGACGTGTCGCCGCGTCCGAGCACTTGGGGGTCATCCCGCCAATGACGCGATCATTCTGTACCAACTCACGCAAAACATGACCTGGAAGTACACGCTCAGGGCAGTGCGCAACGCGAACGTCCGACGCCTCGCCATGGGTCTGCGGAAACGTCAGGTCAGGGCGTGCTTCAGCCAGCCACGACGCCATCTTTTCGGTCGCCCCCACCGGTGAGGTGGACTCAAGAATGACCAGGTCACCCTTTTTCAGTACTGGCGCAATGGATTTGCTTGCGGACTCAATGTAAGAAAGATCTGGAGCATGACCATCCTTGAACGGAGTGGGCACGGCAATCAGGAAAGCATCCGCCGGCTCTGGTCGAGTGCTCGCGCGCAGATACCCCTCGGTCACGGCCGCATGCACGACTATGTCCAAATCAGGCTCAACGATATGAATCTGTCCACCGTTGATCGTGTCGACGGCCTTTTGATTAACGTCGACACCAATGACCTTTAACTTTCGCGCGGCAAAAACGGCTGCGGTTGGCAAACCAATGTAGCCCAGACCAATGACAGAAATAGTGGAAAATTCCATGACCAAACCTTAATTTTTGAAAGTGGCTAGAGCATTAACAATGCGCACGCAGGCGTTACCATCACCATAAGGATTATGAGCAAAGCTCATTTCCTCGTAAGCCTTTTGATCAAGTAAAAGCTCACGCAAATGGTGAACTATCTTGTCCTTCTCTGTACCGACCAATCTGACGGTACCGGCCTCAATCGCCTCAGGCCGCTCAGTAGTGTCCCGCATTACCAGGACAGGCTTGCCCAAAGAAGGAGCCTCTTCCTGCACGCCACCGGAATCAGTCAGAATCAAATACGACCGATTCATCAAATATACGAAAGGCAGATAATCCAAGGGTTCTATGAGGTGAATATTTTTTATGCCAGCCAACAAACGATTGACCGGTTCACGGACATTTGGATTTAAATGAACAGGGTAGACAATCTCGACATCATCAAACTCATGGGCAATCGTAGCCAACGAACTGCAAATTCTTTCGAATCCATCGCCGAAGCTTTCACGTCGATGCCCTGTCACGAGGATGACGCGGCGCTGAGTGGGTAAAAAAGCGAACTGCTGAGAAAACTTCTGCTTTAACTGTTCATTGGACTCGAGCTTCTGGACGACCTCAAGCAGAGCGTCAATTACAGTATTTCCCGTCACATGAATTGCGTCAGGTGCAACCCCTTCACGCAGTAAATTCTGCTCCGATCTTTCGGTAGGAGCGAAGTGAAGACACGCGAGCGCTCCCGTCAACTTTCGATTGGCCTCTTCCGGCCAGGGAGAGTATAAATTCCCGGTACGAAGTCCTGCTTCGATATGAGCGACAGGAATTTGCTGATAATACGCCGCCAATGTAGTTGCAAAGGTCGTGGCGGTATCACCATGCACCAAAACAATATCCGGCCGATAGGTCCGGAAGATTTCCTTCATTCCCTGAAGAATACCAGTTGTCACATCGGTAAGGTCTTGACCCGACTTCATGATATTCAGATCAAAGTCAGGCTCAAGTTTAAATAACTCTAACACTTGATCCAGCATTTCACGGTGTTGACCCGTGACGCAGATTTTGGCCTCAAAACGCTCATCTGCATTCAACGCTAAAGCTAATGGAGCCATTTTTATAGCTTCCGGTCGCGTACCGAAAACACTCAAGATCTTTAAAGTCATTAGATTACCAACGATTCCATATCATTATTTAGTCAGAGAATCAGTCTGGAAACCAGCAACGCTGCCTTGCTCCTGCCTGACCTACCGATTACGCGCAAGCGACCTTTTGCCGCTCCAACTGCAACCACTTCTGCTCTGCAGCATATCATCACCAAGCGTGCTGACATAACGCCTCGCTGGTCCCCTATACTGCGTATGAGACCCCACCACCCCTGCCCAGTTCAGGACCGGACAACGTTTTACCGCAACATTTGCAGTGCGTCGTTTCACGGCAGCGGCGCGTCGCAACCATTCATTGAAATTGGGTCGTTGTCCCATAAGGATCCCGCACCATCTGTATATTCCCCGTGACGATTGAGCCCACGCTCGACCGTACCACCTAGCTCATTGGTGCTCGCCGGCGCACTTCGCGCAGCCAACCTGAGCAGGCCGCACCTTTATCCAACTCTCACCAGATACTAGCCATAAGCCACTAATCAAGAAGTCACACGCAAATCAGTGACATCAAACCTCGTTGGCCGGCGCAACCTTCAACTATTAAGCTAACAATATAAACTTGCGCAGCACGCTTGACCGCACGCACAAGTAAATACAGATCAAACATCGAAACGTCATGAAGACCCGTCGCGAAATTCAGGTAACTTCCGATAGTCGAAAGCCGCCCAGGAGAGCCTTTCAGATGACCGTTCAGATTTGCGCTGGTGTGTAATATAGATTCCGCAAGAAAACAAGACATACGGCCCGGGGAAGCACGTGAGGCGAAAGGCTTCACGTGCGTGGAATTATTTTTGGAGTAACTTATTGCCGGGCTCTTGTTGGCGATCCAGCTGAGCGGCCTTGGAGCCCGAGGACTGAAGAGGTGATGCTGCCAGGTGGTGCCTATCGTGCTCAGTATTAACCCGAGCAGCACGTAACGCCTGCCTGACCAGCGCAATACCTATCGCGGCAATAGCGCCGAAGAGCAGGCCAAGCAAAATGATCAATGGGCGATTAGGACTCGACGGAACCAGTGGCTCAAGGGCTTGCTGGTCAATGCTCACCAACTTCAGCTTCGCCATATCAATATTCAGACCGCTCAAACGGAAAATCTCTGTTCGCAGGGTTGAACACCCGCAAGAAAGATATCTTCATTTTTTCGAGCATCCAGCACTTCAACCTCTCGGTTGGAGGCCAGCAACTGAAGCTCCTTGGCGATTTGAGCGATGCGCGACTCGGTAAAGTCGTCCGACTTCCGCGACTGCAATGCAGCAAGCTCAGCCTTAAGCGCATCCACCCCCATAAAATAGAGCGGAATCTGCTGATTGTTCACTTCAGTACGCATCACACTGCCAGCACCTGTTACAGCCGATTCGCCAAGTGAGGAAGGCGTAGCTGGCTTTTGAATACCCAAGGAACGGGCAATCCCTATTGCCTCATTCAGTTGAGCGATACGATCACTACGCAAGGTCTTCAGCTGAGACCGCAGCGCCTTCAACTCATCTTGCAATTGCGCCCGCCTCAAGGAGTCGGATTCTCGCAATGATGCTATTTTTGGCTTCTTTTTCAATATCGTAGTTTGAGCGAGCCGAATCGAGCTTGCCGTTAAGCTCCCTCAAACGGTTTTTAGCGATCACATTCAAATCAGCCGTGATGCGCTCGCGCTCACTTGCGATAGCGTAGTCGACAAAGCCATTAAGAATAGAGACGCCGTCGACGCCTTTCGGATACATCATCTCGAGCTTGATGTAGGCACTCAGCGAATTTTTCTTATCTGCATCAGGAAGAATCAAACGGATAGAGTCATGATTGAATTCTTGAAAACTCTGCTCCAGCGTCTGCCCAGGACGAACAAACTTCTCGAAAAGCTTCTGATTTTTTCCTGAAATAGCCCAGACGGGTATCATAGGAGTCAAGTGCCGCACCTACTTTGAGGAGCGCTTCGGAAGGAGGTAGCTGATAAATCTCTGAACGATTTAGCGCATCTAAATCATTAATAGCGGCAGGACGCAAAACACTGCTGACTTTATATAAAGGATCAGCTAAAAATGCGTAGGATGCAGCAATCAATCCCGCGCCGAGGGGTGACAAAAAGCAGAAGTTTTTTTGTTGCCAGACAGACGCGAAAAGCCGCACAAAATCAATTTCTTCGGATGATCGAACCGGGGAGCACGGAGCTACTACTCACAACAAAAACCTGCCTTCAAAGAGAAACTGCGTGGGCTCGTTATGCAGACAAAATTATGTATTTTTATTCTAGTTATATGACCGAAAAACCCAGCGTCGCTGCCGAGTTTTGAGCGCAAAATGCCTGTTATCGAGAGGACAGATTCCATTCTGCCATCTCGCTGACATATTACACAGTCTTGACTTATCTAGGGCGCTTCCTTAACACCTAGGGGCAACCCCTGATAAAGAGTCGTCCGAAGGACAGAAAGAAAATTTTGTAGCAACGAGACAAAATTTTCTTTCTTCAATCCTTCTCGGTTCCTCAGGGTACTAGGTTGAAGCGCCCTGATCAGTCAGATTTATGTCGGCGAGATAACAGGTGGAATCTGTTTGGCTTTTTGCTTCAAAGCTCGGCACGGCGACCGCTGGGCTGGAATAAAGATACGCAATTTTGCATAACTGGCCGCGGTTGTTATTGATGGCTTCCGATGCTCCCGTCGTCGAAATTGATTTTGTCGGCTCTTGTGCGGCAACAAACTGCCTTTATCACCCTCGGCGCAGAAGATATTTAACTTGCGTCCTACACGTACAGTCCTATCAAGGGTCGGCGTGTTCATAATAACTGAGATGCGCTGAAACCAGCGAGGCTATCAGCCCTCCTTCAACCTTCCTCAAAGCGATCTAATGCGCTAAGAGGAACTTTCGGTTTTCAGAATTCAAATCATGAGCTCTGTGATGCAGATAGAAAATTCGCTGCGGTACCATCAAAGCTCGAGATGATGTCGAGGCGTCGATGCGCTATCATAGTGACGCGGCGCTGAATGTGATCGCGAGAGGCAACATTTGAAGCTCGGTCGACTCACAAATACGATGACGAAAGAGAGCCAAATAGCATCGTGCAATCGGCTCCTTGAACGTGATGACCCTGGAGGTGGTTGAGAGGCGCGGTCTCGGCTGAGACTGCGTGATGGCGATCATCGGCTGGAGTGAGAGACGTAAATTGCCGTTCGCTGAACAAAAAGCCGACGCGCCTTCCTGCACTGACAGTCGGCAGCCCGGCTGTGATGCTGGTGACATCACCATGATTGGACAGCGAGAAACTGCTGCGTGCGTCGCGGAAGTCGACATTTCGAGTCGCGCATCATCAAATCGCCAGGCTTCGTTGACCTCCAGGTGTGAAACAATTGCGTTAACATGAGATGGTGACGTCATTGGCCAGCCCTGAGCACTGATTCCGTCATTTCATCTTTGCATTGGCCTGCTCTTCGGCTAACCGCAGATGATCTTGCTTGGTCGGGCAGCCCGACAACAGCCAGTGAGCACGATAAAACCTGCCTGGCGACATGCCTCTTCGGTCTCGGAAGCCAGACTGAAGCGGATGCCGACAGAAACGATCTAGCTGAGACTACTCAAATGCATTCACGCGGCAGCAAGCTCATTGGCGGATCCATGCACGCCAGCTAGGCGAGGCTGCTTCGGCGGCTTCGACTATCAGTACTAATTTCGCGACAGTTTCTGACGTGATGACATTCTATATTTACTTGTGCGTGCTTGACTCCAGCCTCAAGGCATTGTTAGCTTAACTGGATGAGATCAGCTGGCGATGTCTGCGTGACTGACTTGGCTGTATCTGAGTGAGAGACGGATGTAAGTGCGTGCTAGGTGGCTTGCGCAGTCATCGTGACACCAGTAGTGGCGCGTCAATCTCTCGCAGCGGGTATTGCGAGATCTTTGTGACCAGTTTCAATGAATGGTACGACACGCCACTGCCTTTATTTGCTTCTAATGTTCTGATAAAGCTGTGTCGATATCTAATGGGCGAGGCTGGTGAATCTCATGCGGTATGAGAGACGGCGGACATATGCATCTTGTCGCAGAGTAAGATGATTACGGTGCGCGTATCGGCAGGCGAAGTGGTAGCGTTGCTGGTACCAGACCACGATTCTGACTGCGTGATTTGGAGTATAATCTGTGACTTTAAGATCTTGGTGTTTCGGTGCGCGGCAGCCAACCGTGCTGGCGACAGTTTCGGGTATTACCGTATGACAACTGGTATTCAGCGAGTGAAGAAATCTTCCGGGCCGGATCTGCATGGTGATACCGCCGTACACAGCCATTGGCGTACTGCATCAGCTGATATATAAGCTCGCTATATCGAAAGCTTGATTTCATGCCGAATACTTACTGGCGAAAATCGAGTTGACAGGCACACTCGCGTGTCTTCACTTCGCTCCTACCAGATCGAGCAGAATTACTGCGTGAAGGCACCTGTTTTAATTCTTGGCGAAATATTTGCTCTGCTTGAAACTCATCCATGGTGATTAAGCTGAAGTTTCTCAGCAGTTCCTTGCTCAGCGCCGTCGTGATGAGACTCGGCGATGGATTCGAGCAGTTTGGAATTATTTTGCCCATGAGAAATTTGATGATATGTCGAAGACTAATGCCATTAGTAGATGTCATGACGAACCGGTCAATGTTATTCACTATCACTTGAACACTGGTCTGCTCTCCATATTTGATGAATCAGTCATGTCTGACTTTGTTCAGTGACGACCGAAATGCTGGGCAGGCTATCGTGCGGGATACACGGCGGCCTGGGCCCGTACCATCAGATTGATGAGATCTGCGTGTTTGATCAGCGAGGAAACAGGCTTTATCATAATCCTATGTTGATGATGCATTGTTAATGTGTAGAATGGGTTTGATAAATGGAGTACTCGCTATTTCTGACTGATCTCAGGCGATGGTTTGCCAACCGCAGCAGTTTGCGCCTCAGCGTTAATCAAGGCCGTCGAGCACGATGGACGGAATTCTGTCGTTGAGCTGATTGCTAATCGTGCATGCGCCGTATTTCGGGAATATCTGCGCGGCGCTCGACAGAGCCGGCATGCTACGCGATGCCCTCAACCGAGATGATTGTTCGCTCGATCTTTCTACGGACCGATTCAGCGAAAGCTATCCATGATCGTCTTCTCGCGATGCGTCGTTACAGACCAGACGTCGGATCCGCTGCCGTATTCGCGTCATTAACGGGATGACCCAAGATGACGCGGCACACATCTTACAAGTTGTTTGTAGAGGGCAGTTTGTCCCATGTGCGGAGCCTGTTCTGGCGAGTTGAAGAACAATCGCGTGTCAGCGTCGCCTTCGCTGAAGGCAGTGATCGACGATGTCGACGTCTGAAACTTATCAACTTGCCAGCCGGCTCCCTGCGATATTCTCCGGCCGGGAGCACCGTGGTGGTACTGCGTCGCCGTTGACCTGGTTCATCGACTGATGTCAATCAAACTGGCGTGTCGAAACCATCGTGAGTTGTGAGTGGAAAGAAATATTAATGCAAATAACAAACATGACGTTCGACCGTGTGACTTTGACCTGCGTGAGAGAGTCCATCTGAGTAGGAGATACATATCAAATGTCTTGAAGATTCGTTCCATCGTAAATTCACTGCCTGCATTTGATCGCCGAATGTTGAGTTATTACTGTGAAGGCTTCATGGTAGTCACAAGCACCATTCAGACACACATCTTCACTCCGAGGCCTTCTTGATGCTCCTTGTATGAAGAATCTTCCATTGTGTGGGGGCTCTGGAACAAGCAGCAGAACTCTTGCCGGTTTCTGGCGATTTCGGGCGAAGACGACTCGGCAGGTGACCCTTGCCTGTTGGTCGGCGGTCGAGTTACAACTGACTGGCTCATCTTGACATCGTTTCTGTGTCGACCGGAGTACGGAGAGATGACGATCTCTAAAGCTGTGGTCGTTCTTATTGACAGGACACAATGCTGCTCCACTAACACCCGTTCGCTCCCCATGCGCACTGATGAGGTCGGAAGTTGACCCTGACGATTTCCCGATAACAATGTTCGATATTCAAGCGGCTGATGCGGTCGGTAAATCGACAAAAGAACGGCGGCGACGAGGATCATAACGGGTGGATCTGGCGATGGACGCGTTTCAGGCGATCAACTTCTGGAAAGTGCTCAGAAGATGAGCAAACTGCAGATGTGACACAGCAGATGCGTCTGATTGGCGCTGGTGCGTCAGAAAGAGGACATCTTCGGTGCGCCAGGCGTTGGCCAGTTCAGGATCAGCGGACATTCGGCATGACTCAGGCGGTGCCACCAGTCAATGCGCCAAGTGGCGAAATGCTGACTGTGCGTGAATGTAATTTGTGTGCTCTGGCGATAAATGCGACCTCTCGCTGGCGGTGAACTGGCGAGCGCCTGTTGGTTGCGGATCGAGATGTAGCTGTCAGGCCATAATCAGAGGCATTCGAGGCCAGCAAGTCAAGCCATCGTCGTGTTCATCGCTGAACGGCAAACTTTCTTGTGAGCCAGCAACGACTGCAGAAACATTACCGCCGCGTGTTTACTGGATGTTGTCTGTTGCCGCTGAGTCTGTGAAGATGCGTTTTTGAGACGAGGACCAGAGCCCTTTTATCCCTATTGTTTGTTCGCTAATCCGGCACCATTCTTGAGATCGTGAGTGCGGTGAGGCTGCTACAGTGGACCTATTGTTCGGTTTGCTGACCTGCCTTTGGACGTGTTTAAGGCTTAAATTACCTGGGAGTTATACAGATGCGAAGCAGCTGATTTGCTGTCGGGCTGTTGCTAGTGTTGGGTTTTTGGCGCCTATCGTGAGTGCTCGCGTGGAAGGCGGCGTTTTGAGCCTGATGATCTTCGACTGATTTATTTGCATTTGGCGACTCAAGCGGCAGGTGCTCTTCGATCGTATTCCAACCGCGCAGGTGTCGATGCCAGCGGAAATCGAGATGGCAAATTCGCTCTATCAGCTTCATCTGAAATGTTCGGATTGGTACAGGCTTCAATCTGAAGCGCCTTCTACCGCACTCACCCGGCATTGCCTTGTTTTTGATGACAACCGATAGTTTCGCGAAATCTTTGGCATTTTGCCGCCAGCATTACCATGTACTAGTAAGGACTGTTACTCGGAAAGTGCACCGTAACATAGCCAGTATCAAAATGGAGCAACAGCGAATGGAACAAATGATTATTCACTGGAGTTACAAATATGTACCAGATATCTTATATATTGTGCTAATCACGCGTGGCTGTTCGTATTTGTTGCCCCTTCAAGGCATTGATATGACGTCAGACCAGCGTCACCGGGCATGTCCACGCTCTATCGGCCTGCGAGAAACAAATTGTTGATGGCGATAAAACAAAACGGTAAACTAGCGTCAAATATTGCAGTGTGATTGAAGCTGACTGAAGGAGTTCTGTGTGTGATCGTTGGCTGCTGTTCCAGGCTGCGGGCTCATGGCGAAGCCTCACTATTTGGTGTCCAGCCTGAGGGAGGCTGACAATGTGTGACCCATCGGACCTGTGACGCAGACGGCTCAGTATTTGGACCAAGCAATTTGGCCTGGCATGGCGGCGTACTGTATGCCACCGAATCCTGTGTTGAATACGGAAAGCCTTCTTGTGCGACAAGAAGACAGCGTGATTGTGAAGGCAACGTGCAAATATTTCATCATAACAGAAGGCAGTGAACCGTCAATATTACGCGTGTGAAGCTGACGATGGAGGCCTGTCTCAGCTGTAT